TGAGCATTTCGTTTTTAATGTTGTCTGGGCCACAAGCTTTCCTTGGCCGGAGAGATTGTGTCTGTGTTGGGTCGGAACATGAGTCTCTCCACCTCGCAGCTCACCACCGCCTTCATGTTGGGGTGTTTGTGAATCAGAGACTCCAACAAGTGGGAGGCTTTGGCTGCCGTCTTGTACTCCGGATCGCCCAGTTTGTTGACCACCTGCATCAGCAGCGCTCTCTCTTGCTCCGGCCGACTGCACAACATCTCGTGAGCCGTCGCCAACGCTTTCGCTTTCGTTGCCGCGACCGTATCGTGAGCGACGGAATCCAACGCCGCCACGAACTCGGCGACGTGGTGCTTCAAATGGTGCTCGAAGTACCAGAGGATGAGGCGGCGGTCTCGAGCGTCTCTGTTCCCGCTCGCCTTCTCCTCAAGTTGATCGAACGGGTGCTCGGCGAAGGATCGGAGCTTCCTGTTTTCCGGGAGCAAATCGGAGAGGAGAAGTTCCCGCAGAGTGTCCAACGCCATCAAACCCTGCCTCCGACTGCCCTTCTTCTTCACCATGGCCACCAGGTTCTCCACGTGCTCCAGCGTGTGCACCGGAGCGTCTTGGATCAGAACCGTCATGGCCGCCATCCTGTCAGCCAGCACACCGGAGGAAACCACCGTCTTCATCCAGTTGGAGTTGGCTCCTTTCTGCAGGTTCTTCTTGCTCTTGTAGAGCCCCTGGTCGGCCTCGTACAGCTGCACGGCCAGAGCTTTGTACTGAGAGACCAGAGGGGGGTCCTGTGGGGACGTGGCTCCCTCCGCGGTGTATTCCAGATCGAACCACTTCCCCCCGGGTCTGATGAGCAGGATTTTCCTCGGCTGGAACTCAAACACATTCACGTTCTGCTTCTTCTTCCTGCCTTCTTTTGCCTTCTTCTCTTTCTTTATGGTTTCCACTTTGGGAGGCGCGCTGGATGTTTGTTCCTTTGCTGCAGCGGCTTCCTTCTCTTTGGCCTTGTTACTCTCTTTACCCTCTTTTATCCCTTTAATCACTTTACCCTCCGTAACCTCTGTAACCTCTGTAACCTCTGTAACCTCTGTACCCTCTGTACTCTCTGTACCCTCTCTACTCTCCGTCTCCTCAGCGGTTTCCTCCGGCTCGTCAGGGATGATCTGCAGTCCGTCGATGGATCGGATACCCAGTTTTTTGATGAACTTCTCGAGCTCGCCTTCCTCCAGGTCGTCGATCGCTCCTTTCTTTCCTCCGTCCACCAGATCGTTTTCATCCTTCAGACCGGCGAGCAGGACGTAGTCGGCCTAAAGAAGAAGAAATACACATCGTCAGGAATACAGTATAAATCAGCAGTAATAATTAATAATAATAATTAATTACATTTTTTTATAAGAGCAGTTTTTCAAGTGATCAAAGCGCTTTACAATGACATATTACACATATTGGACATGTAACAGTCAATACTGTGTAGTAGTGAAACATATTGTATTATTACTATTTGTATTATTATGTTAAACACAGCAGTGTTTACTTAGTTAATTGGATAATCGACTTCTCATTTCCTCTGTAAACACAGGTTTGGTGTGGAAAAATGACCGTAAGCTGTCAGATAAACATTGTGCATAGCATGCAGAAGCATAACATGGAAACACTCAAGAAGTACCTCAAAGATGTACTTCAGTAACATGTAAGTATTTGAGTCATTTTAACCACTTTTTACAACATATTAAGGTGTTTTCCTGATAAACTCACCCGAGTTCCTCCAAGCCAATCCTCCAGTCACTATTTATTTAATTGTATTGTTCTCATCTGTCATACCTTTGACCTCCTTGTGTCTTTTGAATATTGACATTATACTTTTATGCATGTGTGCCATAAGGTTTGACATGAAGTGAATTAGTTTACATTTGTGATGTATGCCATGTTTTTAAAGCACTTTGAGCTGAATCTGCTGTATGAAAACTGCTATACAAATAAAGCTTTTTTTGACTGTTATTTACAAGATATTAAGGTTTGTATTCCTGGTAAACTCACCTGTGTTCCTCCAAGCCGGAGAACATCATCCAGGTTAAACTCTTCTTCCTCTCCTTTCTTGCCCTTGTCTTTACGTCCATCCTCCGCAGGATCTTCCCCCTCCTCCCCACCGCTGTTTTCGGCCTCCATGTCATCTTTTGCCGGCTGAAAAGACACTTTAAAGCCCGCTTTGGACTTTTTACGTTGCTTGTTTTTCGCCGCCATGCTTGCTTGCTACAGCATGAGGAGAACGTGACCCGGATGTGGAAGGTGACGTCATGGTGAGTGTTTCCGGGAGGTTTCCTTTTTTTAAATTGTATTAATTGTATTTATTAATTAAAGTAGAATAAAAATCTCTCAGTGGTAATTAATGTGCCCTTAAAATAGATACATAATAACAAATAATAATTCCCGAGTCAATCAAAATGTTTTCTTTCACTTACGTCACAGCCGTTTGTCCAATCAGGGAGTTTGTCCTTCGCTTAACAGTCAAGCTTAATTTCATGGTTCCGACAACGCTGGAAAATGTCCTTTCAAAATAAAATAGTAAACGCAACAGATGGGTGACAGTTTCTTTTTGTAACCTTATATTATCATAGTGACATAATATTTTACGTAGAAATGTACATCGTATTTTATTTAAGCACCAAAAAACACTCTGAAAAAGAAAAGTGCACAATTTCTACTGAGAAAGCGTTTTATTGTGAAATGTTAGCCGGATGTCCTTTATTTCATTGATGTTTACTACGTTAGCATTTCGCTTTTTTGAAGGACTTTGTAGCTTTTAGCTTCTCTGCAGACATGTGGTTTAAACTGCATTATAATAACACTGTTCTCGTTAGATAATGCTACCATGACAGCTATTATATAACACATATTGTAAAGTAGTAAACCTAGTTGTGTTAATATGATCATAAACAGCAGAATGAGGGCTTGTTTTGGTGTCAAAACTCAGCAGTTGATCAGCAGAGTCTTCCGGCATCCTGTCCATCCTTCAGCAGCAGGTGAGTGCATTGAGCTAATATATATATACTATCTATTTGAACAGGACTTAATTCAGAATAATGCACACAAACCAATTGAATTATTGTTATGGGGACTCGTGTGCAAAACTACTGAATCAAAAAATGTTGGATTCAAAAATAATAATATTATATGTTATTGTATGTATGTAATTAAATTAATACATGTGAAAATAAATAATAACATACAAAAATTCAAAAAATAATAATTCCCCATCTTTAATAAATTGTAGAAAAATAAATATTTATTATTTAAAAAACGATATATTTTACATGTTTTTGTTTGATAGTGGGATGGCGATTGGCTCAGAGCAGACTCCTCTCAGCAGGTGAATCCAAGCCCCGCCCCTCCATGCTGAAACACCTGACCTTCAAAATAAAAGCCACAGGTCCCATCACAGTGGCGGAGTACATGAGAGAGGTGCTCACCAACCCAGTGACGGTGAGGGAGAATCAGTCAATCCTGAAATCTGTCACCTCCGACTGCAGATCCTGGATCAGTGAAAGAAAACAGCCTGTTTGATATTTTTGTTTTGATAAAGAAACGTTTTGAATGACATAGCAACCTGACACAAAACAGAATTGAAGGAGATAATGATTGTATTTAATATTAATGTGAATGTAGTAAATAAAATACAGTATAAGTTACATTTTCCAAGGGCTCAAAAAGTATAACAGATTAAAGCTGCAACAATAAGTGGATTTATCTAATCTAAATAATTAGAAGATAATTCATTGGCATCAATTAAAATAATGAATGATTATTGTGGGGGAAACTTCTGAAGCAATTGGAAACAGGACTCAAAGAGAAACACGAGGAGAGCTGGAGCTTTGATGGCAAACACTGATGGTTTATTTGGAGCTTCGGCCGGAGAATTCACAAGACATGTCACGTCTGACCACACGGTAGAGATGCCACAATCAATTCTGAAGACTCCTCCTGTAGCTCCAGGTTTTAACTGGTTCATAGTGTAATAATCAACATTCTTCAATAGATAGACTATCTCTCTCTCTATGGCTCGGGGGTCATCTACACCCCGAGAAGGATGTGTTCCAGGTGTCCCACAACAATAACTATCTCTCACCGAGGGCTGCCCGGTCACAAACTGGTAACAACAACAACTTTTTAGGGCAGCCCCTCCTTAAGGGAGATAACGGCTGCTCAAGGCTGGTCAGCTGCGTCAGGGGGTAAACCATAGACTGTATATATTAATCGTAGGGTAAACATGCATACAGAATTATTCCCATTTATAAAATCATTATCGTTTTTTGTTTTCCTCTTTCAGGGTTATTATGTGAGGAACAACATGCTGGGACCTGACGGAGATTTCATCACTTCACCAGAAATCAGCCAGATTTTTGGAGAGGTGAGGCGGAAAGAAATCCAGATTAACAGGAAATAGAAGTCTGTTGTGTTTTTCAGTTTTTTTACAGGAAATAATTTGAGATTATATGTTTTATTGGCATTTATACAACATTATATTATAATACTTTAACTCAACGAATCTCCTCTATAGCTATGTTTTCTCCAAATTGGGTTGAAGCTGGGTGGAAGCTTGGGTGGAAGCTTGGGTGGAAGCTGGGGTGGAAGCTGGGGGGAA